CGCACTGCAGGTAAGTTACCCATTACCGGAGGAGTAGAACAGCGGTGACTTTTAAAACAACGAACGCAAGAAGAGATGACCTTTCGTATCACTCTTTTAGAGGACGGGATCCAATATCTTTGGCTAAGTAAATATTGAGTAGTTTGTAGCCCAACGTGTAAGTACTTAACATGTGTATGCTCCACAATCAGACGAGTCAGCCTATGACCACTTGGAAGTAAACACTGGTGTTTATTACTATACGGAATAGAAGAGTGATGTAAACGTCCGCCCACCCTGAGAATACCATCTTGGTCAAGAAAGGGAATGAGCTTGCGAAAATATTTCGGGAAGGACTTCAAATTATACGAGTCTTTTTTAGAGAGTGCAGTTATTTCCTTGTTATAATAAAATCTTTGAATTTGCTTGATTAAAATTAAGAGGGCTTGGTCGAGTTCAGATAGAGAAAAACATTCATTTACCAACAGCGTTGGATTTTTAGTCTTTGAGATGAAGCGCATTATGTAAGCGAAAATGCGATTCAATTTTGATAAAGATGAGAACCGGTCTATGAGGTTATCCCAGCAACATCTCTCTGTAGTCGAAATAGTAAGAGTCGTCTTTCGTCTTTCTAATGTCACTTCGTTGATCTTTAGAGACTCGTTTGACCAAGGGTCACAATGGGAAGTTAGGAATGATGGCCCCGCTCACCATTTTTCTAAGTGGAGTAATTCGCAGGGTACAATGCCGCGGGTAGCACAGTCAGCAGGATTTTCTTGTGTAGACACATGAGACCATTGACTAGGAGATACTTTTTCCTGAATATGGGTAACCCTGTTGCTAACAAATGTTGCCCACTTATGGGGTGAAGATTGAATCCACGAAAGCGTAACAGTTGAATCAGACCATGCGGAGACTGAGCTGATGGGTAACATATTTCGATACGACTGCATCACAATTTCGATCAAATCTGCTAAGAGTACAGAAGACATTGCTCTAAAGGAGGAATTGAAATTTTCTTGAGTGGGGCTATTCTTGATTTGGCACACAAGAAGAAAAGTCTTTGCTTGGTTACCTAGCACCGCTCGTACATAAATTACAGCGGCGTAAGCACTTTCAGAACTATCACAGAATCCATGTAATTCGCAGAATTTCATGTCATCGAAGGTAACCTTTCGAGGAATGTATAGAGAGGACAAGAGTGGCAGATTTTCCTTGTATAAGGTCCAAGCGGACGACACCGACTCTGGAGCCAGTTCGTCCCATTCTATTCCAGAAGACCATAGTTTTTGAATTAGTAATTTGATAAAGGCAGTAACGGGAGCTAAGAACCCGAGAGGATCGAATATTCGTGCCAAATCGGACAGTAAGTTACGTTTAGTACATGCATGCTGTCTGGGATCAATTTTATAAGTAAATGTATCTGAGGTGGGACACCATTGCAGACCCAAAATATTAATAGTTTGATCACTTTCTTTGTCTAGCGAAACCGGAACTTGGAAGAGCGATTTATCTAAATTGGAAATAAGGGGATTATTACTACCCCATTTCCGGAGTTGAAAACCCCCTAAGGCAAGGAGACCGATCAATTCCTTTTGAAGGCTCAAAGCTGCTTCGACAGAATCAGCACTTGACAATATGTCATCAACATAAACGTTGGTTTTTATAACCTTTGAAGCTCGAGGAAATTGATCTTCGTGGTCCTGAGCCAATTGGATTAAAGTTCTAATGGCATGAAAGGGGGAGGAAGAGATTCCGTAAGTGACAGTATTAAGCCTATAATCTTGAATAGGATCGTCTTTGGAGAATCTGAAGACAATCCGCTGATAATCTCTGTGAGGTTCCGACATCAGTATCTGCCTAAACATCTGCTTTATATCGGCCGTAATAACGACAGAGTGAGTGCGAAATTGGAGTAGTAGAGAGAATATATCTTGTTGAAGTTTGGGTCCAACTAGCAAACAGTCGTTAAGAGATAAGTTATTAGCCGCCTTTGCCGAAGCGTCAAAGACAACGCGAAGTTTAGTAGTTACACTTTCAGGTCTAAGTATACAATGGTGAGGTATATAGTATTGATGATTAGTATGTGGCAAAGGTTTAACAAGTTCCATATGACCGGAATACAAATAATCTTGCATGAATAGGTTATATTCTTTGCGGAGTTCTGGATTATGCAAGAGTCGTCGTTCAAGTGAATAAAACCTACGTAAGGCAATGTCTCTTGAATGATCGAATACCGGTAGAGAAGAGAATTTAAAGGGTAGATGAAGAATGTATCGACCAGTATTATCTCGAGAGTAAGTTTCAACGAAGATTTTTTCTGCAGCCAGATCTTCAAGGGAGTGGGCGTTTATTTGAGGAATCTGTTCGAGATGCCAGAATTTATTAACAACCTCTTCGAGTGAAAGTGTAGAGGTGCAACAAAGGGTATTGTTTGAGAGAGTTGGTGGTGATGTTGGTACTCGACCTGTAATAATCCAACCCAGATGTGTATTAATAGCCACAGGTTCATTGATAGAGTGAGAAATAGAGCCTTCCTTAAAGAGAAATCCAAATGCATCGCAACCAAGAAGCATGTCAATGGGACTTGAAATATTAAATTTATCATCGGCAAGGTCTAAGTGGGAAAATTTACTAAAGCTAACATCCGGTAAATCAGAGCTGGGCATGTTATCACAAATTTGGGGTGTAACGGCAAAATCAAGGGTTATTCGGGATTCACTGGACATTCGAGGGATAAACGTGCAAGTAACCTCTTGAGAAACGTTCGAGGTGGTATTTACTAAGCCTTTTACAAAAAGCGAGAGAGGCTTTCGAGTAAGTCCAAGCCTATTAGAACATTTAGATGTTATAAAGTTCACTTGACTGCCACTATCAAGTAAAGCTCGGACAGGTCTGTAGTAACCAAGCGAGTCTAAAACTTTGATTTGAGCGGTAGCTAGAAGAACTAAAGAATCTCTACCATCAGGGCTAGAATCAATGTTCGTTAAAGCAACTGACTGTGTTCCTGCATCACATTTGTTAAAATTATTTGAACTGGTGGAAGGATTATGATCAGGGCTGAGCTGTTTATCATGATGTAATAAAGTATGATGTGGCTTTGAGCATTTTCCACAACGTACACGAGATGAGCATTTGAATGCTGTATGTTTTAAACCTAGGCAATTAGTGCACCAGTTTTTGATCTTTATCAACTTATATCTGTTAGCAGAATCCTTTTCTAAAAACTCTGGGCAACTATAAATTAAATGGCCTCGTTTATGACAAACCTGGACAATTGGAGGAGTCAGAATTTAAAAGAAATTTTATTTTCTGCGATTTAGAGGGTTTTTCCTTTTCCGTTATCTTGGAATCAGAAGAGTGGGAGACAGTATCTAGAGCAACGCATTATTTTTTGAGAAAGTTTAACAAAACTTCAAAATGTTTGTTTTTGTAGTTAATATCATCTAAAGAGTTTCCGCATTCCAGCTCAAATCGAGTTGCAGTGCTTGAATCTAAACGACCGAATAGCATGTAAAAGAGAACAAAGTCCCACTGTTTAGTAGGAAGACCTAAGTAGTCGAGGGCTGATAAATGTTCGGAAAATTTATCTAATAATGACTGCAGGGCCTTCACGTCCGTTTCACTCTGGAGGGGTTTTATTTTTTCTATTTCACGCCAATGACTGACAGAAATCAAGCGAGAGTTTTTATAGCGCTCAGTCAATGTCTTATAAGCAATGATATAGTTACCTTCAGTTAAAGGATTGCACTGTACAATGCTCAATGGGGGCCCTTCTAAGGAATTTATGAGGTATGTAAACTTTTCAACATTTGAAAGAGTTAAGTTATTGTGAATCATAGAATTAAAAAGGTCGATGAATGTCTTCCAATTGCGCAATGAACTATTAAATTTTTTCAATTCTAATTTAGGCAGCTTGATGTGACTTGGAGTACTAGGGTTAATTTTAGTACCATCAAACAATTGGGAATAAGTAGCGGCAATCTTGTAATATGTGTCGTCAAAAACTTTCCTAATATGTCTCTGTTCGTCCAGGTCACTATCGTCAACCGTTGACAAAATATTTAAAATAGCTGCATGTTGGGTTTCAAAGTCCGTAAGAATAGCTGGTAAATGCATATAACGAACCTTGAACTCCATGTGAATTGCATTATCTGTTAAAGCTCGAGTAGCCACTGCGAACATTTCGTTCAAACGACTAGAAGCATTATCTCTTTGAGCTATCAAACCTTTAAGTTTTTTATCGCTCATTTTTTGTTTTTAAGCAAAGGAATAAATGTGAAGGAAAAATTGATTATATCAATTACGGTCAGCTAATTAAGCCAAAATACAACAAACTGAACTCTACAATTTCCTATAATGATCACAATAAATAAATAAATTTAAAATATTTTAGTTAGTAGTGGACAATAGGCACTCCTATATAAACGCTTGCCAACACCGGGGTGACGGGGGTGACGGGGGGAGAGAGCGAGAGTAGAGTGGCGTGTAAATTTTTTGATTAACGAGCTAATATTTAAATTAGAGTATTTGAGAGAATAGTTAAAGAATGCGACAATTAAATGCCTAACAAAAAATATACAACGCCGAAATAATAATCTTCCTTATGCGACAAAAAAATTTTGAAAATACCAATATATTTTTTGCGAGTACGCAGTGCCGAAAATAGCGCGATCGATCGTTGGATGCGACGGCGACGCACAGTGGAACGAGCCTGTACAAACTTCGGACGTACTGGTTAAAACTGAACGATCAAATATTACAAAGACATATTACGTATTTTAATCTACAGCACTTTTCTGATTTAAATCAAAGAAATTATTTTTTCAAATCAAAAATTTACAACAAATATTTGCTTTTAAACTTCGTTACTTAATTATCCTAAATAAGCCTATAAAGAAAGCGGAATAGTTAAATATACTTATGTTTTTTATAGCTTATAGAAGAAAGACCACTAAGATGCGATAATCGGAACTCTATTACATATAAAATAATCTAAGACTAAGAACCTAAACATTTGAATGATATAAAGTTTTTTTTATTGTTCCCGAACTGACAGTATTTTTTTTTTTTAACTTTCCAGTTTAGAGTAACCGTAAGTAAAATGCCCAGACATGCCCGCGTTTATATTAAAATATTATCATTTTGAATATTTTATACAAAACAAATTCGAGTCCGACTGATCCGACGGGATCCGACCGTCCTATCTACATCGAATTTAAGCATGCCATGCACAAAATAAGTGACGCATGACGCCTCGAGTTGCAACAATATTTTGACGTTTATGTTATTATTGACGTAATTTAGTTGTAAAAATGGAATTTACTAACAAAGATTTTTGCAATTTTCTCCTACAAAATAAAACAGACTTTAGCGATTATAATTACCTTTATGAAATAGTGCTAGATAATATCAACAAGGCTTTATCGAGTGGTGCTAAATTGGAGTTAAAAGAGGCTTTACGAAAGTTTTGTTTTAAATTGAAGGAAAGATATATTAAAAGCAGTTACAATAATTATCGCTTTTTTTCAAAAAATTCCAACTGGTTGAAAAAAAATTTCGATATCCCAGAAATTGTAAGAGAAGAAATGTTAAATTCGCTTAATGAACCTGATATTGAAGAAAAGGAAATCCAATTAGAAAAGAGAAAATCGTTCTCTGATTTGCAGGACTTAAGTGCAAGACATAAAAGGAGGAAAACGAAAGACATTAGAGATCAATATTCATCCTACGGGTTACTTTTTGCAGCCAAAACAAACCTACGTTCTGAAGGATATACGGATTTTGCAAAGGTAACTATAACCAACGATAATAATATTATTATATAGGGTTATTTACGGTGAGTGTCCTATGAAAATTTCTGGAAAGGAATAGGCGAAATTTTTTTTTTCAGATTTTCCTTAAATTTTTTTATTTTTTTACAAGTTTTTGTTTTTGATTACAAACGATAGCTCATAAAAAGTTAAGATAGCAAAGTGCAAGCGGTTTTGCGCTAAGTCGAACCGTTCAGCTTTTACAGACCCTCATAAATATCAAAAAGGCCTATTAAAAATACAGGCCTAATTTTCCATCTTATTTCCTTTAATTATTTGATATTTTAAAAATTGTTACTTTCCTATATACAGGGCGTTTTTAAATAGGACACCTTAATATTTTATTACATACCTATTTGGATCTTAGGGCCCAAAAATAAGCACTTTACTATAGCAAAATGCTATCGTTAAATATTAAAAATATTTTAGCGAAATGTTTAAATGTATCTGCAAACTATAATAAGCACGTCTTTTTAATAAAATTGTAATAATTCCTTTTCTTAGTCAAAAATAATAATAATGCCAACTGTCAAACTCTTAGGTCCCTACAAAGGTGTATTTCTTATTTATAGGTCATAGAATATCTCATGGAAAACCCAAGCCAAGCCAAAGAAGTAAGAGAATTTTGCCAGACTAGCAGGCACAGTGTTAAAAATATTTCGGGAGAAAAAGCGATGAGCATCTTTGTTAATTCAAAGATGTCAAAACACCAATACAATACTCTACGACAATCCTTAATCCTCGAAAATATGAACCATTTTCCTTCATACTATGCCATACAACAGACTAAATTAGAATCTTATCCACCCAAAGAATATATCACTATAACAGAGGTATCAGCATCTGTTAAACTTCAGGCTCTTTTAGACCATACCCTTTTAAGGATATTGAAAACTGTGGAATGTGTTACGTCTAGCAATGATATTATTTTAGTTAGTAAATGGGGTTTTGATGGCGCATCCGGGCAAAGTACTTATAAGCAAAAGCTAACTTCAGGTGAAGATTCGAGCATTTTTATTTCCAGTTTGGTACCCATAAAACTGTACAATGTAAAAAACGACACTATTATTTGGGAAAATAAAAGACCATCTTCGACTCGTTATTGCCGTCCACTAAGATTTACATTTGTTCATGAAACCCCAGAGGTAATAAGAAAAGAAAAAAAATTAATTGACAAAGAAATTGAGAATCTTCAAGCCACCCAAACAAAATTCGGGCTAATAGGGCACAAATTACTTTTTACTATGATAGATGGTAAAATATGTAATACCCTTACAAATACATCTTCTATGTGTTGTTATATTTGTGGAGCTAAACCAAAAGAGACTAATATCTTAAACAAAATTTATCAAAAACAACCGGACGAAACATGTTATTCTTTTGGTATTTCGAGCTTGCATGCTTGGATTAGATGCATGGAATGGATGTTGCATATTTCGTACAATTCAGATTTTAAGAGATGGTCGTGTACTACTACAGAGCATAAAAATTTAAAAGCTACAAGGAAGGCCAGAATACAGGAAGACTTAAGAAATGAATTAGGTATTTTAGTTGATGTGGTAAAACAAGGGGTTGGTACCACGAATGATGGAAACGCGGCAAGAAAGTTTTTTTCCGACTGTTCCACAACTTCTAAAATAATAGGCATCGATTTAACATTGCTTGAAAGGATTAAAATAATCCTGCAAACCCTTTCATGTACCGAAGAAATATGCCCTTTAAAATTTGATCTCTATACAGCCCAGACAGCTAAGTTATATGTTTCTCTTTACGACTGGTATTACATGCCCCCTTCAGTCCATAAAATTCTAGTTCACGGAGCAGATATTATAAGAAATTTTGTGGTACCAATTGGAAAGCTCTCAGAAGAAGCCTCCGAAGCTAGACATAAAGAATTCAGAAACGTCAGGGAGTTTCATGCAAGAAAGACCAATAGGAGGGCTACAAATGAAGATATATTACACAATTTATTACTTTGGTCTGATCCATATATATCATATTTATCTAACAATGGCTACGAAAGAAAATCGTGCTTGCCGCTAGAGGTCGAAAGCCTTCTCAAATAAAATAGTGTTTCATATTGGCATATGTTAAATGAATTATTAAAGTAATATTATATTTAGTTAGTTACTTATTTTCCGTTAATTTTTATTAACTTTTAAATATTTATTAAAATTCTAGTTAGTTTAAAATTTTTTAAATATATTTAACTTACCTTATTTTCAAATATAATTTTTGGATTTTGCCATAGCGAATTTATCATCCCGTATAAACATTTATATATATTTGTGAAAATTAAATAAATTTATGAATAAAAATGTTCAAAATAATCAGAAATATTTTTTTAAGCGAACGGTTGACTCATGTCCGGAAAATCGTATCTTTCGTTCCACTGTGCGACGTCTAGCTTAAATCGGTGCGAGTTCGGTACCTGTCCGAATGAAACCACAAAAAATCTCAAATTTTTAAATTCTGTTCCTTTTGAAACGAGCAAACTGAAATTTGGCCACGTTATTTTCGCGATTAATTAAATATCCGTGATCGATTGGACCAAAAAATGGACGAGAAAGAGCAATGGACTGTAATTTTTTGTTTAATTGAAGCTAGAAAAAACGGGGCTATTCAAAAAATAATATATTGATGTAACGAGACGAAAAATGACAATCTCTTTTCTTCTTGGCCTACCTTGATGTAGCTCTGGCTGTTGACCGGCACAATTTCGCAATACTTGACGGCACTCGAGATATTAATTCTGGCACGCGGAAAATGCTCTCACGTTGGTCTCTGCCTGAGTCGTACTAGTCCCGATCACAGCAGAGTACGACACCCAAGCGACATACGAGTTTTTCTGGCCATATACCCAGTGAGATTGTCACCAAAATACGCGGAGAATATAACCGCAGCAATTAATTAAAAGAAAACCAATTTCAATTTGCTCGATATAAAAATTCCGCAATTACAAAAATTACAAAATTACAAAAGATCATGTTAATAAATAATGTAAAAAATTTCGGATATTTTTCACACTGAAAATCAGCCGTTGACCCTAACACCGTTTTGCAACTGCTTTCTGATATCGAAAACGGCTATAACATTTGCTCGATTAAAAACTGTTCACAGTAGTATCTCAAAGATCGAAGAGCTCGAATCAATAATTAAAACTATATTAAAGTATTATCCACCAGATAACTTACTCTTTACAGACTATACGAAAAACCTTTATAAATACTATGAAATTTTAGAAGTGGAAGCGTATTTTTCAGATAACAAAATCGTTTTCGTTTTACACTTCCCAATTATTCACCCCCAAGATTTCGACTACTATCACCTATATTCCATCCCTACCAAAAATTCCACAACGATTATTCCAAGTAATACCTATCTGATAATGAACGAAAACATCTACCAATATATGTCCACGCCATGCAGAAAGCTGCACCCCAACTTCTACTGTTCCAAAGTAGAATTGATAAATGGAAACAACCCAGAAGACTACATTCATCAAATTCTAAGATTAAAATCGACTTACATCAATTGTAAACAAACGTCTATCGAAATTACGGAACGCATTATTCAGCAAATCGATGATGCGAATTATATATTGATACTCTTAAACCATACTAAAATAAAAACAATTTGCCAAAAAAGGAAATTATCTAATCCACCTGCCACCCGGATGCCGATTTGAAACCGATGATCGTTTCTATATTAACGAGAAACAAAACATCGATGGTCAACTCCTGCTGTTGCCTGAAATCAATATTCCTTCAAGGACGTCGGACACAAATTTAACAAAGGTTGTAATCAAAGATGTGTCATTGGACGAAATCCAGCAGCTTCGGAAACAGCAATCAAGCCTCCGACCAGTGGACCTGTCACCGATCGAAGATCGATCAACAAATCATTAATGGACAATACCGATTTACATCGTGCTGTCCCTAGTAGCAGTTTATCTGGTTTTCAAAAAAATCAGAAGGGAACGATCCACCAGAAGAAGACCTTCCGAAGAGAAGCGAGACCCCAAGCCTGACGCCTTTTTCACCCCCTAGAGATAGAAGCCCCCTTTAGGGATGGAGGAGTTATACATCCCAACGTGACGCTAATGTATTTAATTAGCCCTGAGTTAGCACAAACCCAACGGCAAGATGCGCTTATCAGTGTCGCGTCTACAATTACATCATTCTTCAACGTAATATTTTCTATTGTAAAGCAGTCAGTCTTGTCTATGAAATCGATGAAACCAATCGACTAATTAAGTCATTAAAATACAATTGTTGTAATTTTGGTGTTTTTTTAAAAACGGTTTTCGGCATCCGAGGTACTTTAGTCGGGAGAAACGGGTCACCGGGAATAAACGACGCACATCCCCCGTATCGGCCCGCGAAATCGTCGTCGGCTAGGCTCGGCTAAGCTCGACTAACGGAGCGCGCGAAACGGGTCACCGGGCATAAACGACGCACATCCCCCGTGACGGCCGAGTTAGGCTATAGGAACAGCGCGTCGGTGGCGCTTACACACGAAGGTTGGAGGTTTGAATCCCCCGACCGCGCGCAACACACCGGTCGCTTTTTTCGCCTCGCGCAAAAATGCGTCACATTTATTTCTCGCGTCCCCCAACCCGGAGTGCCGAAAAGGCACTACAAAATTTCTTTTTTCTACGAACCCCCTTTTTTTACCGGGGGTGAGTTTTCCAAAAAGGCACTAACGCAAAAACTACCCCCTACCCCCCATTAAGGGTGACATCTGGCGATCGAAACCTGAGCTCTTAATGGGCGGCGACATCTCTCGTAGAATGGTTAATTTTTTTTTTTTGGTTTTTTTGTTTCGGTTGCTTGGGAATCTGTAAATTTTCAATCACAAAATCTCCCCCGGGGGACGGGGGATGGTGAAGTAACGAATAATAACTACTGTTTATACAGGAAGCATCTGAAATATATTCTTTCGAAACCATAAAAAAATTCGATAAAAATAAATATTTTCAAAATTCTCCCTCAAAAATCGATATAACCAAATTAATACGGCTATCCCACATGAACTCAGAAGAGCAGCAATCAATCACCAAATTATGCGACGAATTTAAAGACATTTTTTATAAACCAGGCGACGCGCTAACATTTACATCCAAAATTCGACACGAGATGAAAACCACTGACGAAGTTCCGGTACACACATAATCATATCGTTACCCGTATGCCCATAAAGAGGAAATAAGGAAACAAATAAATTAAATGTTAGGGAAAGGTATAATCCGTCCTTCAACGAGCCCTTGGAGCTCTCCCGTTTGGATCGTTCCAAAAAAAATCGATGCCTCAAACGTACAAAAGTGGCGCGTAGTAATAGATTATCGTAAATTAAACCTTAAAACAATCAACAAAATTTAAATTCTATTGGCCTAAAATAACCGACGATATCGAGCGGTTTGTAAATATTTGTGATACTTGCTAGAAAAACAAATACGACAGAAACCCCCCCTGTCATTAAATTTAGTCTAACACCTATAACATCTAAACCATTGGAACAAATTCATATTGACTGTTTTAAAATCGATAACCAAATATTTTTAACCATTCTTGACGCCTTTTCTAGATACGGTCAAGCGTATTCTTTTAAAAGTCTGACGACAGGAACAGCTGTCATTGATTCCCTCCTAACTTTTGTATCACACCATGGTTTACCTTTAAAAATCACGTCAGACCGTGGAACGGAGTTTAAAAATAAAGACATAGAGGACTTTTGCAAATTGTATAAAATTGATTTGCATTATACCACTTCAAAGAACAGTAACTCTAACTCCCCGTGGAACGCTTTCATTCTTCTATAATTGAAGCATATCGATGTCTGGGTCGTCGCGACCCTGAGGTTAATTTAAAGCGGACTGTAATTTTTTTTTAAGCAGAGCCCGCAAGACGTGGTCGTGAGGGTAGAGGCACTAACCTCTTGTTGCTATTGTCTCGCTGGACTGGGGCCCCAATAGCAGCTCCTCTTCGATCTTGAGGATCACGGTCTCGGTACGGTGGAGGTGGTTCACACGCACACGCAACGCGGTGGGAGACAATAGTTTTTTCTTTTGGGGGTTCAACACTATCGGCGTGCTATCGATGCCAAGTTCGAACGCCAAAATGTTAAGCACGTTCTTCCTCGCACGTGCGCGCGCTCTCCCTCTCTTTTAGCTCTCCATTTTCCGCATGGCGGCGACACCTTACGGGCCACTAAATTTTTAAACTTCCGCGGTTCTTGCCCGGGTGTTCGCTTTGCGGATTTAACAATGTCTTAAAGAGGAATATAAACAATACAACCCGGAACAAATCGTAAAACGCGCTTTATTGGGATATAATGACTCCATACACAGTGTCACGAAATTTACGCCTTTTGAAATAATCAAAGGTCATATAAATGACACAAATCCTTTTGACATTAGTGACCACGTGATAATTTCGGACTATGTTCAAAAACACAAAGAGAGTTCGAAAAAGGTTTACCAATTAATTTCGGAAAATAATCAAAAAACAAAAGAAAAAATAATTGATAAAAGAAACAAAGAATGCGAGGACCCTGAATTTCGATATTGACGAACCGGTCTACATTCGTATTAAGTTACGTAATAAAGCTTTACCTAAATTTAAGAAAACTACTCTAAAAAATCAAACAACCTACAAAATTAAAACCAATTCGGGAACGTATCATAAAAATTCTGCCAAACGACCAAAATCTAAACAAAAATTAAATTCCCAGGAAAATGAACCTCCCGAGGATCCTAGTGGCATCAGCGTTAGCAACCTTCGACGAGTAAATAGTGAAGATATCAAACTAATTCCCTTGAAAACTTTAAACTCTCAAATATCTTTATCGAAACGGCTGATTGATAATTATAACTTAACGATTTCGACTCTACTCCGTAATCAAAACCAACTAGAGAAAGCAATGTATATATTAAAAGAATCTGTTGATAACACGATCAATAATCTTCAGTTATATATAACCTTTCAAAGTGTTTTATCCCAAATTATACTTGACTGTCAAAACCTGATAAATTTTCTGTATAATTTAGAGAACGCAATTGTGTTTG